GAGAGAGAGGAAGCAGGAGTCCTGCCTCTGGTATATCTTCCTATACATTTGAGGTGACACAGGAACAGGAGCAAAAAATACTTGCTTTATAAGGGATTTTCTAATTCCTTTTAAAAACAGAAATAGGCATCATTCCTACTGTTTTGTTGTCTTTGCTTATTCTCTTCCAGATATCAACACTTTCCAGTGCAAAGTTCTGCTGAAAGGAGTTCAGCGCCAACTCTTCCTTTGTTTAAGTAGTGCCCTCAATAAAGTTTCTAAAAACCATTTGGTCTATAACATTTTTAATGGCAAACCTTTTAAAAACTGCCAGAAACATCTTGGCAGAAGAGAAAGTTATGATGATGAGAAAAGAAAAAGAAAAAGAAAACCAACACAAAAAACCCCCTCTGACCATAGTTTACATAAGTGCATCCACATATTGTTGTATTTCTTATAAGTAGTGAATTCTAATAAAGTCTGGAATAACACACACATGTTCAACACATTTTGTTTCAATTCTGTGTTATGAAGAAAACCAAAACCAAACCCTAACCTGAAAATGGAAGGAGAGAAGAATTACATGTATAAAAGCAGAAGACTATATAAACAAGGCCATTAATTCTGCTATAAACAACTGACCTAACATTGATTATATAAATAGAAAGTGTAATTCTAGCACGAGACAAATTCACCAAACACTTCTAACTCTCTCTGCAGCCTTGATATGAGAAAAAACAAACATTTTCAAGTGTTACAATGAAATCTGCCAAAATTGTCTGTTTGGTACTTTTTGTGTTCATTAAACCTCAAACTCACAAGGCCTATCTCTTGTCCAACCTCAGTTATTTTGTCTGAGCTGTTCCAAAAGAGAACAGAGATTGAGTTGGCCAAGGAGGACATTCTTGGCTAGTCATTTACGTGAACTCACTTCAGGAAAACTTAAATTTAACCTTTTAAAGAAACCGAAGGATGCATGAATTAGTCTCCTTAGGAAACAATGCACCATCAAAGCTTCTCTTTGTAAAGTATTTGACCTAATACTTTCCTGAGAGGAAAAAGGATGTTTCTGAAATCGAAAGAATTTCATAGACTACTGGAGCTAGCATTTCTGTCATTCTGAAAAATTCCTTACAATTGAACTGTTCCTGCTCAAGGAAACCATATTTTGTTTAGTCTGTTTGAGAATGTTTTAAGACCCTAAGTACTGCTGTGGCATTACGTGGAGTACAAAGCAAATATGGTTGTGGAGCATGAGCTAAGAACATATTTGTATGACACAGCAATCCTGAAAATATGTTCCACTGTGCAATGGCCTGACCTCATCAGCCACCAGAATCTGCCCATGAAGTGTTCATCCCTCACTGAGAGCTTGGTAAGAATGAAGGCACAGAGTTTTCTTCAGTTAAATATATACCTCATGTAGACACATGTTGCATGTGATTTGCTACTTTTCCCTCACTCCTGGAGCTTGCTTTGCATCCTCTTGGCTACTTGGATTAGAGTACTACAGGTTGAGATTTGGGTGGAAAAAAAATGAGAAGTTAAAATATCTTCAACCAACAAAATATGTGAGAGATTTTTAGATTTGATTGTAAATTGTGTATTGTAAATTATCTTTGTGCAAGTGGTTCTGGAGGCCAACAACACTTCCTCAAGCCATCTAAAGAGACAATTTGCAAGATGCAAGAAAGGCACACTCAGAAAGTATCTGTGTCCTATAAGGAAAAGTCTGAAATGGGGAAAAAACCCTGAAATCTTAGAAACAATAGGTGTACACAAGGATAGAAAACTCCAAAAGTCATTCATCCTACTATTTCCACTGTCTCCTCTGTGTTCTCCACAAATGAGGAGAGGGGAGGAGAATATAAGCTATGGATCTCACCATAAACAGCCTGTTCAGCATACTGATATGTGGGGACTTGTCCCAAAGACAGAAACATTCTTCCCCTTTCTTCCCACTCCTAACCCGGCATATATTTATTATGATTTATATATTTGTATCTCCAGATGTATTAGCAGAATTTACACATAATATTTAGCATCTACATAACCCTACACTTTGCTCCACGAGACAAGCTTCTAAACTTGCTTGATCCTTAAAAATGTGCCTCTTATTCACAGGATACTGCAGAGGTCCCACAGCTTTGCAAGCATGACAGGCTGTCACCAAAACAAGCCAACCAACCTGTTTCTGTCCCAGTAAGACATGCAGGTCCTTTTTTTTCTGACCTGCTAATGTACTCTGGGTTTTTCTGTGGTTACACTAAGGAATGCTCCTGGAAAGAACAAGTCACTGGGAACTGTAATGCTTCCTGAACCACACAGTGGTGAGAAAAGGCTGGGGAGAAGCTGCCCCAAGAGCTGGGAGCACATGCCAGCCTCCACAGGCCAGGAGATGCTGGCTGCAAGGGCTGCAGCTGGTGATGACAGCCTGGTGCCCACTCAGCTTGCAGGAGCTGGTGGAACCACAGTCTGTAAGCACTCGGCCACCACAGCCCTTGGCATCTGGTCCTGGGCTCTTCAACAGGAGAAGCAGGAGCAAACTGTTGTGGGCAGAGGGAATTTTAGGTGCTGGGGGCAGTGGGAGGATGCACAGTTACCCACTGGGCAGCCCACAGCCTGCTGTGTTGGTCATTTAAAACTTAATGCAGACAACAGTGAGTGCCCTAAAAGATCTGATCTACTTCAGCTTTGCTTTATAGGGTCTCAAACAGATAATGTTCAGAGCGCTTATTTGATTTTTTCCAGAGAATTAAAAATAAAAACCCCAGCCACAAAAAGATACCACTGTATTTAGGTTTTTACCATGTAGGAATATGCAATTAGGAGATGATTAGGGCTATTTTCATGGATCTCAGCAGAATATTTGCTCATGCATATGACCAGCTGTTTCATCTCTAATTAAAAAGGTCTGGAATTGGCTAAGCTGCAACTAGATATGATTACTGTTTAGTACCTAAGAGTCTTTTAATCCATACATGAGCAGCTTTTTCTCCTGAGTAAGTAGTGATGGATGGAGATACAAAAAAAGCTCAGGATTCACTAATGATTTATTATAATGTATTAAATATATATGTTGCTGATGACAACACAGTAGGTATGCTTAATTCTGAAATATTGCTATAGGCCAAAGATTTACAGAAGTGCTTTTGTAGTCTTCAGAATGGTATTATGAAAGTAAAGGACTCATGAAGAATAAGAAAATTAACAGCTTTATCTGGCATAAATAAGAATGTTCACCATCTGGTGTTTTTGAAATGAAAACCTTTGATGGTAATTACTTAGAATGCAACAAGTTTCCAAAATTGGGGGTTTTGGCATGATTCTCTCCAGAAATTTAGCACTCGCATAAGTAATTAAGACTATAAATCTTACACTGGTTTGATTATGAAGATGAATCATTGTCTCAAAATTACAGCAGAAGTGACTGCCAAACATGTCCATTTATCGATATATGCTTACAGAGCCTTGGTTTAGTGCAATCTTAAGTGAAGTGTTATAACAATGTAAAATGAGATTTCATTATTTGCTCTACAAGCATAAATTACGATCATTGTTATTGTTTTCCTGGCGCCTGAAAAAGGATTTGGGATTGGACATTTTAACTGATGTAATCCAAGATTAAGTGGCAGAACTTTCCTTGGAGCCTCTAGCCTGCAGAAATAGTCTAGCTGCAGTTATTAAAGTCCTTGTATGCTCAGAGCAAGATTTTTGCCCTTAGTGTAGCTCATTGTGTTTATTATATGTGATGTGTCACATAGGTTTTCAATATAATACAGTGCATAACCTGAGCAGAAGAAGAAGCAGCATCAAGTCCTCCAAAATCCTTAAGGTGGGGAGCATTCCTTAAAGCAAGTTGTCTGATCCTAGATTTTTTTAAGATGTTTTATGTTGCTGCACTCCATCCATCTGTATTTTCTTTCTTATTTTATTTATAAGCAGATGAACAGTGAATAGTCACTGAACCTGGATATTCTTTCAGATTAGGGCCATTTTATGTTTTGAAATCCTAAATTCTGCACTAACTTTGGCTACATATTCACCATAGTTTGAAATGTGGGTTTTTTGCATTTATCAAGCTGTTATGCTTTGGGACAGGTAATAGAACAAGGATTTCTACTTTCTGTTTTTCTGGGGTCAATCACAAGCACTGTCTATCAATCACAAGCACTATTTCTATTTTTCAGGGCAAGTTCACCTTAGGGTGATAATTTTTCCAGCATTAAGGACAATATTGTCCTCGTGGTTTCACAGTCTCCCACACAGCAGACAATACCCAGTTTCACATGCAACAGAAATAAGCAAGAAGCATGTACTCACCCACTTGCCCCTGTTGGGATAGTCATGCTCTGGATCAAAAAGGTGTTGGTGCAGTTGGTATTCCCTGCTGAACTCTGCTGTGTCTGGGGTGTTTTCTAGACACCCGTCATCAACTGCAAAAGAAAGCACTGAGTGCTTAGTAGCTTTGAGACACACAGTACGTGCCACATTAGTCACCAAACTTCTTAAATGCAATAATGCAATTTAAAAAACCATAAAGAACTGGAAGACTAGAAAATATCTGGTTTTTTTTCTTTTGAAACAAATTTGTCAGAATGTATTTATTTAAAAAAAAACCCCAATCCTCATAACTTCGTGAAAACTGAAGGAATTTATTTTTCAAGTTCTTTCCCTCCTTTATGTTTTTCTTTTAATAATTGCACTTGATTTTACCTAGAACTGCATCCTGTTCTGATTCAGAAGGGATGTTCTTTTCTTTTTTAAATGCTCACAAGTAGAACAGTGCTATGAGCAAAACCAGAATTTCTTTCACCAAGAAGCTCTTCCTGGACCTCCATTTCTAGTTCGCTACTTTGTTCAAACTGGCTAAAAATAATTTCTGCATCGTAAGATCTCATAAAAATGTTATGTAGCAGAAGTTTTATGATGAAGACATTTCTGTAGATTGGTAACTAATCTGATTGGTCCAGAAACCTCCTTTAACCACAATGGATGGTTTTGTAGATAGTGTCACATCAAGATAGTATCCTTTTAAAAATCAACCTACAGTCTTTTTACCAAAATAAGCCATCTTTAGCTTAAACAAAGTTTCAGCAGCTTGAGGCCAGAGTAGCTTTTAGGATAGAGTCTGCTCCTGGAGCTGCCACTGCTTTGCCAGCAAGGGGAGCTTGCAGTCCAAGTTCCTCTCAGACAGAGCCAAGGAGAGCCTACCAGCCAGGGCATGATGCTGGGCATTCAAACTGCTGCATCTGCCAGAACACAGGCACTCCAGAGCACACACCTGTGGACTTTCCCTGCTGTCCTTGTGTGTCATCATGTAAAAAGATTTGCAGATGGATTATCCTTTTCCCTCAGATGTGGGAAACAGTAAAGCCTTGACTTAAAACTGAGTTAATTCAATGACCTGAGGAGGTTATTCTGAGTTCAACACATCCAGCTTTCTCTCTTTTCTCATAGGGGTTGAGAAAAAATAAAATTGCCAATAGAAAACAGGAGAAAACTCTTCATACCGGCTAACTCAGAAACTATTAAAACACTTAGAAATCATTTCAGTCTCATCAGGGACAAGGTTATATTAGGAGAGAAACAGGTGACAACAGAAAGTGGGGTAGACCTCAGAGCATTTGTGTCTTTTGGTAGAAAACACAAAGGGCAGCTGGACACGTGGCTGTCCTCTATGACTGTTAATCCAAAAGTCTTCAACTCAAGTGCTCCAGGCTTATGTATTCCTGCTGTGGAATGTGCATATGTAGACACTGACTGGAAAAATTGTTTTCCATTAAGCAAATCCACAGACCTGATTGAGGAAGGCCTCTGGTAATTTGTATGCATAATACAGTCACCACTCGAATTTCCATTTAAGGCTCTGAAAAACATTTTACTCTAATCCTAGCAGATACTATCTTCACTCACAGCATACCTATGACAGAGCCATTTATCTGAACAGGCAGCACTTCCCTGCAAATTCCCCCTGTGTTCAGATCTGACTGTATTAGCTTAGCTAACAACTTTTATTTCACCTAAGAAAGAAAAATGGAAGGGATTTTCAAAAGCATTTCCCTGGATGCCATGTTTTTAATTTATTTATCTAATCATGAACAGAAGTCTAATGGGCAAGCACGGAAGATAGAAAGTCCATGTGTGTGTGCTTGTGTGTGTGAGAAAATCTAAACCCATCATTTGCAACTTGTCAGACAACAGCTACAGTGAGCAAATTGGAAGATGAGGTATTATTTCAGAAGAGACGAAGGCATCATCACCAAATGGGCTGTAATAGAAAACAGTAAGGGAGGACTATTTGAAATTTTGTCAAATTTTTGAATGAAATGCAAAAACACTTCACAAAACTTTTCATAACAAATATTATTTCTGATGAATTCTAAGCTAGTTAGAACATTTTAAAATAAGAATACAGACAACTGTTCTGCATTATCCAAATAACATAAAAGAAGACTAAACAGAAAACATTTTGAAAGTATCTCTTAGCTCACAAATAAAAAATGAGAGAAAAATAAAGTGCTCATTCCCAGTTCCAGGTCCCAAGGCAGCCAATGGGTGTTTTACTACTGCTTTCAGTACTGGAAGTCATTCCTTGGCTCAGTAACAGGAAAGAGCCCCATTCTCTCCGGGTCTGTGTGCATCATGCATGTGCAGGGCTGCTTTGGTGACCCTTCAGCCCCAGCAGGGCTCAGTACCTGCAGGCTGAGGGACACCCTGCCTGTCCTGGGCGCAGCTCTGGCTCTCCAAGGCTGCACTGCCCTCTGCCAGGGCCAGCCTGCATGCAATGCCTTGGGCTGCATCCCTGTAGTTCTCCATTTCTTGGCACAGATGCACCCTCAGTGAGCTATAAAGACGCATGGATTGGAGCCAAGGTATCTTAAATATTGACTCATGGTCTGGGTTGGAGATCAGGGCAGACAGTTTCATTCCTCTTGGCACAATGAAAGTCTCTAAAATAAGGGTAAATCTCATCTGTACAGAATAACTTTTTTCAGGGGCCAGCTTAAAAATGAACTCCCTGGGGAACATGATGCTCTCATAAATCTCACTATCTTCCACTCTGAGGTCAAGATGATTTCTTCCACGTGACCTAGGTAGTAGGTGCACATATTAATAATAAAAAAAAATTTTAAAAAAGCTCATCTGAAACACTAAACCCCCCGATTTCTCAACAGTTCTTCTCCTAGGGTAGAGAATGAAAAAAACCCCTCATTTCTGACAATGGGTTGTACAGTGCTGAAAGGAAAATGTATAGTGAAGACAGAGGTACAAAGGCTACAGCTGAATTACCTGTTTTTCCAATAGGGCAGGGATTTGGAGGGTCAGGATATCCTTGATCTTCACTGAAATCCTTTGGTACGTTATCTCCTGTCAGCTCAGCCACGATGTTTGGGATATTGCCATAAGGACCCAGGTGCTGGAGACCCTCGTGTGCACCACCTAGCAAACACAATTTATGCACAGTCTTTTTACAAGTTTAAAAGTGTAAGTACTTTAGCTGGTCCAAGTAATCTAGACTTCAATTTAAAGTATAATCTCTCTCTCTCTATATATATATAACTGTTTTCGAGACAAATCCAAGTTTAGATTTCAAGCATCTCTTTTAGAAACATAACCATGTGACCTAAATTCAGTAGTTTAGATAATTAAAAACGAAACCAGGAAACAAAATCGGCCACATATTATTAATCTTGGGGTTTTTTTTTCCTTAAGTATGAAAGTTTCAGGCAAGAAAATGTGAAGAAAAAGAAATAATGAAACCTGATACATGTAAAAGCACAATCATCTTCAGTCACTGATACTATTACTGTTCATTATAGCAACTAACAATAGAAGATATGGCAAGACAGCATCATGGCAGGAAGACAACGTTAATGACACTGTAGAAAGAAATACTACCAGCACAGCCTAGAAATACATTAATAAATTGAGTCCCAAGGGCTTAAGATGCTAAGGTCCTTGGGGGCCTGAAGTATTCTAGCAAATTTGGTTGTGTACACCTAGAAAAAATATTTTTAAATGAAACCAATTCTTAAATGTAAATTCCTGTTGTAATGATGAAAAGTGGTGAAGAGTCCCTGTTCTTGATGGGAATTCTTGTTCACATATAGCACTTCCACAGCAGTCAAGGTGTTACAAAACATCTCAGTCAGTGACTTCACACTTTGCCATACAAGATTACCTTTTCCCTGTGGGACCCAGAGCACCATCACTGCAGGGTTACAGCAGCAGTGTGCAGCAGGTTTTGTAACTCAGAGGACACAATGATGAGCCTGCTGTGCTGTGCTCTTGGGCAACTGCACCCAAAACTCATGTGCTGTGGCCACGTCCCACACATCTCAGCTGGGTGCCTTGCCTTTGACAAGTCTTTGACAAGGGTCTTCCACTAAAGATTTGAAAACCAAATTTAGGCCACTCTCTATGCCTCTCTACAAATAGTTATCTGTCCCAGATCTTTTCTGCATGCCTTACTGGCCAAATGCATCCACAGGCTAAACCCCAGCTGCTTGTGGAGTTTTTTTAATACTATTGTACACTATTCTTTTGAATTTCAGACAAATAAAAAGTTAGTTTCATGCATGTTCTTTTTCCCTGACAAAGACAGCCACCACACACACTGCAGCAATGGATATGGTTGTGTGACAGCAAAGCAATATTTTTTTTAAACCCTATATAAAGGGGGATAACAACATACAGTCAACATATAAATTCTACTAACAATGAATTGAGAGGAAAAGGAATTTGAACAATTGGAAAATATGAGTTAAAGAGTGAATGCAGACACAACTGTTTGAGTAAATAGCAAAGTCACCATATTATCACCAAATAGTCTTATTTTAAATTTATACATTTTTCATAGATCCAGAAGACATGAATAAAGCCTCTGAACATGAAAGATGCTCCAAAAGAATAATTCAAGTACTCCTGTCCCAAATTAAAAATAAACATTACCAGCCTAAATCATCTTTTATACAGCCAAACATTGTAAGCTAACATAATCACTTGCAAAAATTGCTAACAGAAGGCACTCAAATGCAAAATTAATATTTTGTATTCATTTCTACATTTAGAAGTGGCAGTTGAGGCAAATTTTGCAAATTAATTTTGCAAATGATCAGTTGGATGTTGGCATTATACCAAAGCAAATTAGTCTATAAGCACATATATTTCCACTTTATTTGCACAATGGACTAAAATCTAATTAATGTGCTAATTTTCCCCCTCAAGTACAAGTCTCTTATTCTGCAATGCAGTGTTGCAGAAAAGTTTTACAGATACGTAACAAATGTAAAACTACCCCTATAAAAAATTGCATCCCTGTTATATGGAAGTTTTGCTTGTAGCTGACCACAAGACCTGGTACTAACACCAGAACAGCATTATACCCACTCTGAACTTTATTGTACCCGTAGTCCATACAAAGATGATGCTTGTAACACAATAATGTTATGGTGATGAGGTTAAAAAAAAAGTATATCATACATTTAATCTAATGTAATTTAATATAACATCTAATATATTGCATAAAATACTTCTTTTGTCCTGGGTTCCTTCACATGAAGATTGATTACATATATGTACTTAAAAGCACCAGGTTATGATTCTGCTGTAAACTACAGAACCACATAATCAATACGTGTTTGAACATCCTGTATACAATGTGGTTCACTATGGGACAATCCATCAGGTAGAAGCCTATCTGTGCTTGCATGTGGTGCAGACCTCTTGGCACCAAAGCTCCATCCATAAAGGAAACAGAGGTACTTAGCAGGCTCCAGTGTGCTATATATACATGTAAGTTTAAACTGACTGCCAAGAATTCCCTTGACTGAGTACAAACCAATCTTTTTATATTAATATAAAGGATTGTTTCCTTTAGGTATAAATGTCCAGGATCATTTGAGGGTTTTTCCTTTCTTTCCAAAAGAGCTGCAGACAATAGCACCTGCTCTGGTGCCATAATTTAGCACACTTGAGTGATTTAATAGCATCAGGAAAGCTCAGTCCTTATAAACTCTGATAAATAGTGCACTCAGCAAAGACCACAATGATAAAAAATGAAATGTTATGAATATAGAAAGTAGGAGTATTATGTACAGTAACTCTCATTAGTTGCATTAGTTTTGGTATTAAAACATTACTGATTTAAAGAAACATATTAGGATTAAATACACTGCAAGCTACCAAAATATTAGGATACAATATATAGTCAGCTACAAAAATAGCAGAAGATCAGTTTCTTGAATCTTGAGGCAGAACCTGAAAGAAAAAGACAAGGCAACTAATACCAAGATATTTTTCATGATTTCCTATCCAAAGGAATCATGAGAAACATCATTGTTAAATTATTCAAACTTGGACTACCAAAAGTCCAGAGCAGTACAGACAATACCCTTGTACTGAGAAAGGATGAGCTAGATAAATCTATGCTTTTTGCCACATCTCCTTACTTACATGAACAGGCTTTTCTGTGCCACATACTAGCAAAGAAAACACTCCAAAACAATCAGCTCCATTTCACGTGCAGGATTTCTGTGAGCATTTATTATTAGGTATTTCACATTCCTACAGCATAAACTAGAGGTTTAGGTCTCTTGGGCTAAGATCAGCATTGTCCTAAGTAAGGTTTGAATTTCATTTAAAATACATGCATATATGTAGTCATCTAGCACTAGTCTTGAACTGTTGCAGGGTATAAAACAAAAAAAGAACAACGCCTCTCACCATTATTATAATTCTGGAAAAGTATTTTATCAGTTGATTTCAGCTAGAGATCCTTGGAATGATTAAAAGTTTAAAGTGCATACATTTCAGCTAATTTCTTTGTAAGAGCAATACTGCCTGTATGGGCTTCCCACCCATGCAGAGAACATAACCACTCCATTCTTGGAGGACAAAAAAAAAAAAAAAAGAAAGAAAATAAACAGAAAGAGCAACTAATTTCTCGCAGGTATTGAATATTTCCCTTATCAAACACATGCAATGGAAATGCTGTTAGTCCACTGAAGTTTTAGCTGCTGCTACCCAGCTATTTGGTAGTGTAAAGCACAGTGGGAACAAATCTGTGGAGAGCAATCCTCCAAATACAAACAGGCAGTGCTGTCCCCCAGAAGAGTCAGTTTAATAAAGTCAATGAGAATGGATTTTCAAAAGTGAAAAATTATTGCCAAACTTTTAAAGAGGACAAATTTGTCTTCCAGTCTCATTGAAACCATTTCCCCTGTCACAGTGAAGATAGAGTTACCCTAATTACAAATTCAGGAAAGAGGTAGTCTGGGCAATCTTAGCAGAGATACAAAATAGGAAGGATCATGAGTATGTGTTGTGAGTAAATAAATCCCAAATCCCCAGTTAAAGCCTGCTACTTAGCAAGTCGTACTAGGTGCCTCCGAGTGTCCAAGCCCATCACAGATTCCCAGGGGAATCTTCTTCCTGAGCAAAAATCACACCTCTAATCTTGGCCAGTACAAACTCCAAGCTGCAAGCTCCAAACTCCATGAGCTGCAAGGGAAGCCTGATACAGCTAATCCCATTGGCCCAATGGGATAAGGGAGCAAATATGTATTAATCAGAGATGTAATACAATACTTCCTACTTTGCAAAATCTTTTGTTAATCTGGATTATTTGTTGTTATCACAGGGAAAAAAATCTTCAAGATTGTTTACAGTGTCTCCTCAACAAATCAGAGATACATTTTTCACAGTGTCAGCTTCCCATACTATCCTGCACCTCCATCCCTATTAATCTTGTCATATCTACTTTTGCTGTGTCATTGTCACATTCAAAAGGAACATCTTCCCAGTCAAAGGCAGGTTTGACAGAATGCTTCTCAGTGCTCTCATATGTTAAACTGGGACACCATCACTAACTAACTTTTTCTTTTCTTCTACTATCTGCAGGACCATCCATCATGTAAACTCTCAAAAAATCCTGAATACAGAAAATGCATTTACATTCTCCTTGCCCTTTCTAACACTTCTAAAGGCTTTACTGCCCCAGTGCTGTAATTATAATTGTGCTAGCTTCATCCTAGAGAGTCCTATCCTGCTTGCTGAAATTGATTAAGCACAGGAAGTGAGAAGAACGGAAAAAAATTATGAATTATCACATTTTGTCTATTCCACAGAAGCTGCTAAATAAGAGAATACTGAATAAGAAAAAGCATAGCAGAACAAAGAATAGAAAAATGCAAACCTAGCCAACTTCCTTAACCATTCAAGAGCATGCCTGAGAAACACAAAAACACTACAGCTGTACATGCTCAGGCATCCCAGATTCCAGAGTCAGCTTGTCTTCTCCTTAATGACACAGTTTCTTAAAACTATAAAGACTAATTTTCTATTTCTCTGCAGAGGGACAATTTTTTCTAAAGCCTTAAGCACACACATCACACAATTACTGACCTTGCTTTCAGCAAATAATTCTGTTTTATCCACTA